ACGGAAGGACTGTAAAGGATCTGACGACGCCTGCCGCGAGCTAAAGCCGGTTTAGAGCTACTACCTTGCGCACCGCCAGTGCTCCTAATGACCCTCATACGCAAACTTTCTAAAGCTCCCCGCGCGTGGGATGATCTTTTCTTTTTTTACCCCGGCCGTTACCCATCTAATCTACAGTATTTTTGCATGTTGTGTGTTTGTATTTTTTCGGCTTTATGAAGCATGCGTGCTGCGTTGAGGTATCTACTCGGCACTCCCCCCCCCCTCCCGACCCGACCACAGTGCGCCTGCGACCCTGGGCGTAGGCTAGCCCGCCGCGCGGGCCTGCACAGCGGGACGGCCCGCCTCACAGGCAGCCACGGTCTGCTTAGCAACTCAGAGCCGCAGGTCGGGTCAGGTGCATCATTTAAATTGACGCATTAGAAGGGAAAGATAAAAAAGAACAACAGTTATGCAGCCTTTATTGTGGAGCGCGTAATATTTCCAAGCCGAACTCATTTGCGGGCGACGCGTGGTGTTGTCCGGCGGCTGGAATGGCCGCTGCTCACCATACCACTCACCTGCAGGCGGCCGGGGGCCGGGCGCTCACCGCTCACCTTACCGGCTGGTGGAGGGCGGTTAATTTGAGGTGGGGCGTAATAAATGCGAAATTACAGGAGGTATTTCGTGGTGACGCCTAGAATGGCTGCGCGGAGGGGGGGCGGGCGGCCCCACTTGCGTAATAGTACTTTGTGCCGCGAGCACACTCCACATGAAACGCATTTTCTTTCCTTTTTTTTTGCGTATGCCTCTCACCCTCTCCCTCTTTACTCTCTCTCTTTTTCACACATCCTCTGTCTCTGCCCTTTCACTCCCTCTCTCTCCCCTCCCCGGGCGGCACGGTAGCTGTGACATTCCTGGTGGAAAATGGAGAGGGGGAAGGGGGGGTTGCGGTCCCGTGAAAATGTGGGCCGCTGGTGGAGGGGTGGGGTGTGAATAAATGGCCCTCATCAAGGCCCTTGAATATAGGACTGGTAAGGCCACTGATGAATAGGGGGAACGGTTCGGGGGACATCTCAAACCATTTCATGTGATCTTTTTTTTACCTCTCTTCCCTTTCAGAAAGAGGGTACATATTGGGCAGAGGACAAGGAACATACGAAGATTACATTTGGAGGCCTATAGTGTGTGCCCATTTTCATAAAGAACTTCAAGCCTTACCAGTTATCCCTTCAGGTTGGGAAATCGCAACGTATTTTTAAGGGTGAGGGGGACAAGGCCAAAGGTGACCTTGGATGTGATTTGGAGGTTATTTCATCTAGGTAAATCCCTACACTGTTTGAGAAGACACCCACAGAATCTGGTGAGTTTTTCTCAAATTATAGTAGCTCCGGGAAATTTTCCTTGTCACCCAAAAAATCAGACATTTTTTCTGCAATGGAATTTTTTTACTCCAACCTTGTCGTCAGTACGCCGCTGCCCGATAAACATTGCGGCCGAGGGCGTGTCCAGCTAGCCCCTGCGACCCCCCGCCCATTCTTCACACGTCAGAAAGTGACGCCTGGCCCGCCTCCCGTCCCGTCCCCCTAACCTAACGCAACGTTTTTACGATTTGTCCGTCACACACTGTATCTTCCGAGCTTGTTTTGCAACCGACCGTCGAAGAGTCATCGTCAATCTTCACGTAAACGTCGCAATGCGTTTTCACTTAAATAGAAAGACGAAAATTTTCTGTACTACATATTCACAACACTGGTTTTTAACCAGAAAGGTTAAGGTGAAAAAGGTTGACCGGTTGAAATAACTATTTTCAAAAAAGCTTCGGGATTCGATGAGCGTAACTTGCAACTCTGAAAAACATAGAGGCACAACTAAAGAAAATGGGTTTTTTTTTGTGTGTTCTTTTTTTTAGGGTAAGGTGGGAGGGGAGGGTGTTAGAGAGTCGAAGCAGGTGAAAGGTACTGATGAACGAGGCGGTAGCAGAAGGGGCTTCGGTGGGGAGGGAGGGGGGGCTCTGTAGATAGTGGAGGAAATGGTATAGGCGCGGTCATGTGGACGGTGAGGGGGAGGGGGAGTCAACGTCGGGGTGTTCCAAGACGAGGCAGTCTGTGCCACGCCCCACGCCCGCGCTACGCCACGGCCCTTCTCCTCGTGCACGGCGCGACCAGACTCTGATACCGTTGGAAATGGCGCTCGTTTCCTTTTTTCCCCCTTTCACCGAGAGGTGTGCTCGCGACGACCGCCGGCTGCAGCGCGCCGACGCGCTCTATGAAAGGAGCGCGAGGCCCGCGCCGCGCATTTTCGTTCGTTAAACTACGCGCGGCCGCATTTATGTGCGCAAAAGTCTGAGGGGCGTAACGATGCGCGTTTAAAGCAACGGGGTCCCCAGACCGGCTCCCGGGGTAGCAGATCACCCGCGGTGCGGCGGTGCGTGCTCAAGTGCCCGGGATTACATCTGACGCGGCCCCGTCGGGGGAGTGTTGTCGCCGCATGCAGCGCGCCCGGTGCGCCCGGTGCCCGGTACTCACGGCGTCGCTAGCAGCGGTGTGTACACTCCTAGGGGCGGGGCGCGGCGGGGCGGCGACTATTTGATGATTTGTTTGCAGGGCGCATGCGGGTGCCCCGAGGGGGCGCGGAAGGGCCCCACCCGCCTCACCCCGCCCGCGCTGCTCTGCGATGGCACAGGTCTCACCCACAGCCCATGCTCCCCCTCTTCCCTTCCCGAGCTGCACCCCTCCTGCTGACGCTCAGGGGTGCATCGAACTCAACCCCCTCCCATCCGTGATCACCATGCCCGCATTTTTTTTTTCGCTTTAAACAAAACAACAACAAAAACAACACAAAAACAAAGGCTTGAAAGAAATCGCATAACAAAATAAGTAAAACTGATTTTTTCTGCATCTAACGAGCCATATTCCACATCATGCAGCCCGTCCCCTGCTTGGTTTATAGGCACACAGCAAATGGGGTGCGTTTACGTGTTTATCGGTAGGTTGAAACTCCTAGAAAAAAGACATCTCGTCACGCTCAGAATCCCCCCCCCTGCCCCTCCCTCCACCATTGTCGAAAATGCATTTGCAATTTGCACACATTGCTCGCGGCCT